TTGAAATTGAAAGCCTTTGAATGAAAAGATGTCACATCTCTGTTGTGAATGAGTCACTAGCTAGAGTGTAAAATTTCAAAACTTTTTCTTCTCTTTTTATTTTAAACACGAACATGATGCAGGCAATAGGATACCAACATGGATATGTAACACATATTTGGAAGTTTAGGAAAAATTATCCTGTTGTAGTATGATTTCGAGTTAAACCCCATGTTTCAGTTAGGACTTTTAAAGGTTGTAACGTGGTCTGGTTCATGGTTTTTTGAAAAAAGTTTTTAAGGCTCAAGTTATTTGGTGCCCACCCACTTCGTGATTTTCTCCAGTCCTAAATTCAATTAATCTTGATACGGACATTCATCTCTCAAGAGGAGTTTATGATGGTTGAGGAACCACAACAATTTCTTGGACACGACAGTCATTTAACCTTTGGTTTTTGGTGTTTGATCACACGGATTTTCTTCTGATGAAGATTTTTATTAGATAATATTTTCCTGCCTTTCAGGCTTTTCAAATTCCTTTTAGCTTTCCCTAATTTTTGCCTGGACCAATTATTTTGAATTTCAATTTGGAAGTCCAGCGGGGTGCCCTAACTTTTTCCTAAGCGACTTGTTTTCATATTTCGACTTAGCGGGCTTTTTTTCTTTCTTATTCATACTTTCCACTTTGAACAAGTCGTGTGACCCTAAGTCTTTGAACTTTTTGAGGAAAGTGACTGCCTCATTCCTTGGTCGGTGAGGGATAACCATTGTTGTATCAATTTGATCTCGACCTCAGGATTTTTGTGAGTAAATAACCAATGTGGTTTTGATCTTTTCCCGACCTCATAATGAGAGGGATAAAATATGGTGATCCTCAGATGGGACACTCCTTCTGAGATTTTGAATGTTCGATCAAATTAACTGATATCTACCTTGCCCGGGGTTAAAAATAAGGGTTTTTTCGAACAGAAAAGAAACTCCTACTTCAAAGGCTCAGAGGGGTTAACGAGGGTCTATCTCCCTTATATCTCCGGTGTTTGGGGATTGAAACAAGGCTTGTACATCATCAACAAGGTTCTACTCAAAAGCATACCATCAGAGATATCGACTTTAACTATCGTCATCCTTCATCCAATCTTTTGACTAGGCAAAAGAGTTGGCACAGTTGGTATCAAAATTCCAGAAAAATCATTTAAAGAGTGATAATGAATGGTTTAAGTAAAAACAAAAGAATTTATTCAAGGCAAACATATTCAGTGCATCAGGGTTGACACTCGAAAACAAACAAGTTCCATACATGCAGACAATGTTAAAACAGACAATCAAAATACACATGAAAATGCAGCAGAGAAAAATTCCACCATGGAAGAGAATCGACTCCATCCTGACTTGTCAATCTTGACGATGCACTGCAATCCTGACAGTATCCTGACCCATGACCTCTATATTATGAAAGGAAATTGCAAATGGTTTTTCTTTCGTTTGTCTTTCCGGAGAAATGAGTATTCAATGGGGTGAGGTAAACCTTTGCCACCAGTACGGAGCCATGAAACAACTTAGCAAAATATCCACAAGAAAGTAGCTGAGTATTCCATCTAGAAGAAAATTAAATATGCCCCTCGCATAGTATGACAATTGTACTCGTTATTCGTATTGCAAGCAACTATAACTTTGATTATCATGTTCATGTAGAGCCAACAACGTTTATATGCACATGTTTATGAAAATATTGGATGTTTTTGCAAACAAAATAGTAAAAAAGAAAGTTATGTGCACGTATATAAAAGAGGATCTTTCATTTACTTGAGAAATCAGCCTATGAAAAAGGCATTTACATTTGTAGACATATCTTAGAAAGAGATAATTGCTAAAACAAAACAAACAAGTGTTTACAAATGGCAATGTGAATACATATATCAATTTCCGACTCTGCTATACCTCTTATGATTTTAACGCTTCCATCTTCCTGCTTCCTGACAAAACATTCTTGGACTAGTTCCGAGCTTCTGCCAGGTGACCAAAAAAAAGAGAAAAAGAAACAAGGGAACTCATGCTGAGTGTAGTCATTTTCTTTAAGTCCCTAACTTTTTTCTGAATCGCCCTTTCGGGTTTTCGATTCACCAGGACACCCTCTTTTTGCCTAAGCTGCCCTTTCGGGTTTTCAACTTAGCGGGTTCTCCTTTTTTTATGCAAAGTATTTTTTAACTACGTCAGCATTCACAAGGAGAGGGAAGCATTCTCCACCCATGGTCGCGAGCATCATTGCTCCACCCAAGAAAACCTTTCTGACCACGAATGATCCTTCATAAGTCGGATCCCACTTGCCTCTGCGATCTCCCTGGGGAATAATTATCCTTTTTAGCACAAGGTCACCTGGCTTGTAACACTGAGGCCGTACCCTCTTGTCAAAATCTTTCCTCATCCTTTGCTGATATACCTGACCATGACATACAACCGTCAACCTCTTCTCATCTATAAGTTCTAACTGATCTAGCTGATTTTGTACCCATTCACCTTCGTCAAGCTCAACATCCCTCATGATCCTAAGAGAAGGAATTTTGACTTCTACAGGCAACACTGCTTCCATGCCGTAGACCAAAGAAAATGGGGTTTCCCCAGTCGAAGTACGCACAGTGGTACGATAACCATGTAAAGCAAAAGGAAGCATCTCATGCCAATCTTTATAGGTTACTACCATCTTCTGTACAATCTTCTTGATGTTCTTATTGGCCGCTTCAACATCGTCATTCATTTTCGGTCTATACGGAGAAGAGTTATGATGCTTGATTTTGAAGGACTCACAAAGCTCCTTCATCATTTTGTTGTTCAAATTGGATCCATTATTGGCGATGATCTTATCAGGTACTCCGTAACGACAGATGATGTTGTGTTTAATGAACCGAGTTACCACTTGTCTGGTGACATTGGCATAAGACGCAGCTTAGACCCATTTAGTGAAATAATCGATGGCAACCAGAATGAAACGATGTCTGTTGGATGCAGTTGGTTTGATCTTGCCAATCATATCAATTCCCCACATCGCGAACGGCCAAGGTGAAGTCAAGACATTTAGTGGCACGGGCGACACATGTACTTTATCAACATAGACTTGACATTTGTGGCAAATCTGTGCATGACTATAATAGTCAGTTTCCATGGTGGACCAATAATAAACGACTCGCAAAATCTTTTTGGCCATGGTATGCCCACTGGAATGAGTCCCGAAGTCACCCTCATGTATCTCTTCAATGATTCTAGCTGCTTCTCTCTTATCAACACATCTGAACAGTAAACCATCATGATGCCTCTTATACAACACACCACCACTGAGAAAGAACTTGGCCGGAAATCTTCTCAAGAACTTCTTGTTTGTGACGGACGTCTCATTAAGGTACTCTTGCGTTTCAAGATATCTTTTGATATCAGAAAACTAAGGTTTATCGTCTGATTCCAAATCGGCTTCAAAACAAAAATCTGGCTCATCCAACCTTCTGATGATAATGAAAGGTGCTTCTTTATCGCAATTAACTTTGAACATGAAGGACAAAGTTGCCAGTGCATCAGCTAGGTTGTTCTCTTCTCTGGAAATATGTCCAAACGTGATCTCTTCGAAGTACGAAATCAACTTCATAACATGCTCACGATAGGGAATCAGGTTCTGATGACGAGTTTCCCAATCTCCATTAATTTGTCTGATAACAAGATTGGAATCCCCGTAAACTTTCAATTCGCAGGTCTATCACCGCTTCAATACCATAAATGCAAGCTTCATACTCGACCATATTGTTAGTACAATCGAAACAAATACGAGTTGTGAAAGGAATGTGAAATCCCTCAGGAGATGTGATAATAGCCTCGATGTTGTTGCCCATGGCATTGGAAGCACCGTCAAACACAAGCGTCCAAATGTGATTATGAAAAAATATAGTTGTGAGTAGGAACGAGACTATCATGAGTAAATATAGGAGTAGTAGGTGCAATAATAGGTGTAATAACATATTTATAACCATGGGAAATTGATAGATTGAAAGTATATTTGAAAAGGATGTTGTTGGGTAAATATTAGTGCATTGTTGCAATCCACTTTGAGACATTAATTTGACGAGAAGGGTCGTAACAAATTCATATCTAGAATCTAGAATTGTCGTTGATTATATCTATTTTATTGTAGAAGTTGTTCCAAATTTAGACTTGTTTCATAAAATCTCTCATTTATTTGATAATGAGAGTGGTTGATTACATCTTCAATATGTTCACGAGAAGGCTTAAATAGCATAATCTAAGTCCTTATATGATGGATATGTAGGTCTATGAGACACTGAATCAAGAAATGAAAATACCAATAATAAATTACAGCAAAAACTGAAATGTAGGTTTAAGTTGCAAAGAAAAAATGCATCAAAACAAAATTTTGAATTTTAATTCGTTAACACAACTTGAAACTTACACTTTAAAAGCTAAGGTTTTAGAAATATAAATAGGTCATGGACTTCTTTTGTAAACAACATAAAATAAGATTGAACTTCTTCTTTTTCTTATGGGTTTATTGGAATTCATTTTAATCTTCTTATCATTTAGTACTATACTACAACTTTTGTCAAAATATGAAAAATATATAATATTTATTTTTTTAAAACTAATGATATTTCTTTTTAATAACACGTGAATCTTATATATTATATTAATGAAAAAAATCGGTAGGAAGGACAAATGGTAATAATATCTAAAACTCACCCACACAATCATTAAAGATAGAGTTCCAACTCTAGTATTAACTTCCAACCTAACAATATTGATATCTTTTATGTCAATTGAGTTCCCAGGTAGAAGGCACCTTGTAACATACAGTAAATCAATTCCCTAAAAAAATCTATCAAAGCCTACTTGAACAAAATATCATAATTCTCCATGGTGAAATAATATTGTGGTATTAAATTTCTGAGAAACTAGTCTCGAAATCAAACATGTTATACAAGAGTATTGTTTTCTTTATATAAATATTATCCATGAACAAGTATATGACTATTGAAAGGAGGGAAGTGTAAGTGTGTTTCTGTAGCGGACAAAAGAATTAAGCCTCTGCAACCTCAGTTGCTTCTTAAACATGTTGATAAAATCATCCGCTTTTGCATCCACACCTTCATCTTCCGTACAGGTCGTCGTTTCACTTCTCGCCATCGCCGTCGCTGGTCTCCTTCTCTCCAACGCTTCTTCTTCCTCTTCCTCCCAGTCCAACGTCATCGAACACTCTTTCTCACTCACCGATCTCTTCAGTTCCACCTTCCTCTTCTCCTCCTCACCCCAATCACAAACCAGTTTTGGATCCAGTTCCGCAGACGAGTTTTCGGTTTCGGTTTCAGGTTGAAGGTAATGTGTTTTTACTGGCGCAAGTTTACGAAGGGAGAGATTGAAGGACACTACTCGCTTTAACAAGGTTGGTGTTTGAACAACCGTTTGAGTAGACTCGGATCCTGACTCGGGTTCTGTAACACTAGATGTTTGTTCTTGGTGGTTGTAGTATTGACGGGTATTAAAAGACTTGGGTCGTTGGAAGATTTTGGTTTTGGGTGCAACGCTGAAGCAAGAAACGAGGGCTATGGTACCAATGACTAGGTTTACAAGGATGAAAAGGGGTGAAGGTGCAAACCAGGTTGCTATTGCTATGAAATTAGTACTACCAGTTATGGAGTCTGTCATTTTGTGGTTTAGAAGCTTTCTGTGCAGTGTCTTGGTTGGTGAGAGAGATGAAAGAAATTAATGGACGCTGTAATATATATAGAGAGAGAGATAGGGTCTCTTTAGGAAAGAAAAAAAATATAGTGTTGATAAATATCATCATGATTCGTGAGCCCCCTGTTCGGTTGTCTTGTCGACGTTCACTTCTTTTGGCAGCATGTCGTTTTGTTAGGCTGTCGACATAACACTTGAATCAAAACTTAATACATGTAATTGTTATTTTTGACAATAATATCAAAATTTCTATTCTACTCAAAAAACATGGAATAATAATATCCAACCGAAACAGAAATATTTGAATCTAAAAATAAAAGATAGCAATTGATAAACAAAAGAAATGTTGGGAGACATTCTCTCTTGATGTACTTCCATAACTCAGCCACATTATATAAACAAAGTTGGGCTTTTTGTTTTGTACGTGGTCGCCAACTTCCTTGATGATTGTAAAATTATATGAAAAGCTAATAGGAATTTGATCTTTGATTTGTGGAATTGTTTGGTATTCTTTTTCTCTCAAAGACATTAGCCAAGTCTTGATAATTTGAATGCATGGAAAAGGAATTGATTGGAACTAGTTGGTCGAAGTAAATCGAGATAAACTACTTTTAAAGATGAAGAGGGAACTAGCAAACTCTAGGGATTGATGGACGACAAGGATGATATATGCAAATAATGCTCGAATCACTAAGTAAAGAAGAAGAATTGAGATGGTTTGTTGTGCACTTCTCTTTCTAATTTTAGAATTTTTATATATATATCGTCCTGTGTTGGAATTAAAACTAATGTTGATCAATGGTAAAGGACTCCGAATCGGCACTACTAATCTCCAATGTGGTGGTATAGGATTGATCTACAATGTTAACATTCTAACCCTCAAGTCAGTTTAGAGTCTAAAAATAAATATAGTGAAAATTAGAGATTAGAAGAATGTACCTTGAATTTTGTGGGTCCTTTTATACGTTAGGTTGTTTGGATTGAACTTGCATCGGGGTTTGGCATTGACTTTGAGTTTGTGGCCAACCCAAAACACATATGTTCTGAGAATATCATAAATATGATTGAATTTATGATGGATCACTATTCCATCATTATTGTCCTGTGTCTAGTTATTTGTTTTCATCCATGCCCCATATTGTCCGTTGAGGATCAATCAATGAGTACTAGGTTATGAGTCAGATTGATAATGCATTGTGTTTAGCTTAAGTCTGAAATAGTTTCCCTAAATTCTTTCTTATGAAGGCAGAATTATTAAACTTGGAGACAAAGCCGACAGATGCAAATACATCACCACTGCATCCTCCCTCGTGAAAGAACCCTCATCACACATACCTTATCCATTCATCGTTGGATGCATCCAACCTGAATGATTCACTATGTTATGAATCATATCCTCTATTCCAGAAAAGGTAACTTTGGTCTCCTAACCCAAGTCGATGTGGAAATTATGTGGATGATAGAAAACAAGGTCAAACTAAATTGGGCACAACAAGTAATTAACTACATGATGAAAAACAAGGAAAAAAGCTCACACCTACCGTACATAAACCTAGTCACAAAAATTCTAAATTAAATTCAGTTCAATTTTAAAGATGAAGAGTTCAAGGAAGAAACAACGATGATAGGAATCTATGTTTTACCATCAATGAAGCTTGAGCTTATAAATGAAAAGATTATTATAAGACCACAATCAATCAAAAAGAGTCCCTTCCTATCAAGCTCTAAAAATCCCCTTCCTAATATACCCACAATAAAAGATATCAGTGACTTCGTGTTGGCTGAAGATTTTGATAATGTTATTTAGAAGCCAAAAGAGTTAAACGTTCTGATCGAAATGGAATTAAACGCCATATTTCGAAGTTGCAGAAGCAGTGTTTCGAATAAGTGTGTCAAAGCTTGAAGCTTCGAGCGGCAATTATGGGAACATATCTAAAGGAGTCTCGAAACAACAGCGAGGCTATGTTTGGGAAAAGCGTTCGAAACGGAGAAACACCAAAGCATTTTAAATTCAAATGGGAGCGGGACTTTCAAAGTTTGAAAGTTATGTGTTGGAGCATTTGGGGACACGTGGAAAGATGAAAGAAACATTGTCCTGCATGTTCGAAACGTGGCATAATCCTATAGCGAGACCGTTAGGGTCGAATTATTATAAATAGGAGTCTTAGTATTAGGATTTCGTGTGTCATATCTATTATACAAAATACTCAATAACATTCAAACTACCACATGGCAAGGGAAACGAATGCAAGAGAAATGTATGTATGATAACACCATGTATTTCTGATTTAATGAAAACCTTTTACCATTTCCAGTACTTTCCTTTATTCCTTTTGTCAAACAACATTTACAAGTTTTCTTATTCACACCCTTTTCACTTCGAAATCTCTTCTTCAAAGTCTTACACTTTAATGTTGTCTTTATGTTTCGAGCATTTTATATTTCTGAAAACTATCACATTTTCCATACCTTTACATTCAAGTCTTGCCCTTCGAACGCATACTTTTACTTAAAATCATTTATAGATTTCTTGCATTAAACGTTTTCTCCTTAGTTTCAAACTTTTATGTTCCAGAAACCCTTTATGTTAACCGTTTTGTAAGTCGAAACCATTTACTTCATTTTCATGCAGTTTTAGATGTCTTTACAATTCAGCATTACAATTAGCATCTATTCGTGTAACTTAGTTTTTATGCACATTTTGACTACATCTTTAGAGAGAAATCGAAATAAGCCAAACACCTATACAATATCAACCATGAGTAATTGTTCGATTGTGAGAGTAACCTTAATATCCAAGGAGTCCTAGGATCAATCTAGTCGATCCTGTGAGTTACCAGAGGGATTGAATAACAGTAAGAAAGATTATTCGATAGTTTGGAAGACTAGCGGTTGTTTACCAGAAATCACTGGAAACAAATTGGCACACCCGGTGGGACCAATAATTGGATATCAGAATTAAGGATTGTTGAGACATAACCATTACAAAAACGTTGGAACTTGAGAAGTTTGCTGTTTTATGAACCTGAGAAGTGGTAAGATAACCAACAGCAACCAACCTTTATCTAGAAGAAAATGTTTGGACAAAATGTCTAATTCAGACAATCAACAAGGGGACCAAAGCGGCCCACACGCAACAGGCACTAACGCGTCCATTTCGAGCGGAACATCTAATGTAATCCCTTCGAATGCACAGTCTGTTGCATCTTCGACCAGTAACATAGCCATCAATGGAATAAGTGGCATATCAACTAATAGTTCGATCTTAGGAAATACTGGAACTATGGGCTACCCTGGGGGACTCGTTCTACCATCAGGGACACAATCCCATTCCGCCACCCCATTAACTAGACCACCCGGTTTCGATGGGAATAGAATCAGAAATCCCTCGTATGGAATGCCAACATATTTTATGGCAGGTTTACACAATTCCACATCGAATTCATCTCCACAACTAGGGTCTGGGTCTGGGGCGAATCAGTTTATGACAAATAACCAAGGGTCAGTGGGTTATAGCACATTGCCTATCCTAACCACAGATAACCAGTTGGCTTTTAGGCAATTGATGGATGACAGTAAGCATAATATGATAGGGGTGTTAGCGCAAACCATGCAGGAAATATTTGCCCCAATAGTGCAGAATGTGACTGTGACGAACAGGGAAAACGCTGACAATATGAGTCGAATAGCAGATTTCTTTGCTCCTCCAGAAAGGCGTAGGCAGAATCAGGCGGGATTTCGAACAAACACGCCTGTTATAGAACAAATTGCTAACGACCCAATTTATAGACCACCGAGAGAAGAAGTTAACTTAGGGGCCAGGACACCAAGGTTAGAAGCCCCAATAATCCCGGGTCCACAAAGGGAAGTTATGGAACCAGGGGCAAGGATCGAAAGGCCAGAAGCCCCAGAATTTCGAGAAGAACAACCTAGGGGAGTGGTTTTGGTTGGTCGAAATCAAGATGCCGATGCCGTCGTTCATAGGATTCGAAACGATAACATCCTGGACGAAAACAACCTAACCACCATGATAGAGAGGGTCATGGCCCAGAATGGCCTCAACACAGGAATGAGGAGGCCAAATTACGCTTCTCCTATATTGGATTGTATAATGCATACTGATTTACCAAGGGGATATAAAGTCCCTAAATTTACAAAGTTCGCTGGGGATACCAATGAGTCAACAGTCGAACACATAGCGAGATATCTAACCGAAGCGGGAGATATAGCCAATAATGAAGATCTCAGGATCAAATACTTCCCAAGTTCCTTGACAAAAAACGCCTTCACATGGTTTACCACTTTGCCCCCTGGGTCCATTGACACTTGGACTCTCTTAGAGAGATTATTCCATGAACAATTTTACATGGGACAATCGAAAATAAGTTTGAAGGAATTGGCGAGTGTTAAGAGAAAATTCACCGAACCCATAGATGATTATTTGAATAGATTTAGGCTGTTGAAATCCAGATGTTACACAGTAGTGCCTGAACATGAGTTAGTCGAAATGGCCGCTGGTGGCTTGGATTATTCTATTCGAAAGAAACTAGACACTCAGTATTTGAGGGATATGGCTCAGTTAGCCGATAGGGTTCGACAGGTCGAAAGACTAAAGGCCGAAAAAGCCAGAGTCTTTAAGAATAGCAAGAAAGAAAGGATTTCCTATGTTGGGACTGAGGAAGTAGAAGAATATCCTGAATTCGAATTCGAAGAGGTCGAAATTGACCTCGCTGAATTAAAACAGGCCCCGCCTTACTCCTGCAAAATGTTAGTTCCCACAAAAGGGAAAGATATTGTTGAAAATGAGAAAAGTGACAAATTCCCAAAGAAGGTTTATACCTTCGACGTCACTAAATGTGACGAAATTTTTGACTTGCTTGTCAAGGATGGCCAACTAATTGTGCCATCAAATGTCAAAATACCTCCTTTGGATCAGAGAAAGAAGAGGGGATTTTGCAAATATCATA